GCAGTTTCATAAAGTATAACCAAAATCCAAACATTTGAACCCTGAACTGCAAAAGGCAGCTTGCCAATGTCTTCAAAAGAAAGAAATCTGCTGCCTCTGTTAAACAGACACACACACATACTCACACAGCAGAATAGATTGCATTTATCAGCACAGCATAGGAGGTGCTTTCAGTGCAACCTTGCTGAAAGGGATGGAGAAAAGGTTTAAGAAAATCAAATGCATTAGGTTACCATTACCATGACAAAGTACCCAGAGATCTAAGGTGCATTTAGACTGGACATTTTTGTGATGAGACAATAAAGAAGTATACAGTTTCTAACTTCACTTTGCAAAATTATCTTTGGTCTTGCTTGTCTACCCAGAAGCTAGCTATGAACATATATGCACCTCTCTCCCCCTCGCTGTTCTACGGCAGTGATGGTAGTGGGGAAATTATATAGAAACCAGAAGTGGAATGCTATGGAGCGAGTCCCATTAAATTCAACAAGACTTGCTACCTCATAACTGTCTAACAATGCAGCCTGCATCAAACTCTTCTTTAAATGCTTGAACTCCTTGGATATCAGCATTTATAATCTGCATTCACACCAACAACTTTGCTGTCTTTATTTTCATCTGGTTTGACACATGGTACACCTCTCTCTCTCTCTCTCTGCATTTCACACTGAAATAACTATCTGTACACTGTGTGCATTGCGCAGTTTCTCACCTGTGTCAATAACATACACACCTGCATGCAAATGCAGATGAGAGCCATAAATGTGTTTTTATTGTCATGAGCAGAAAGGACCATCCTGTGAGTTAAGTTTCCGTATGAGAGGAAAGAACGAAGAGTCTCAGCTGCCTGCCTGCAACAAGATGGTGGCGCCAATGTTACTTGTTAATCTGAATCTTTAAAAGGTCCCTGATCCATCAGCTTCCGTGTACAGCCAAGGGTTCCGATGTGGATCTGCAAAACACTGTAGCTCTCTCTCACTGACAGGGAAAGCTCCCTTATGTGGCTCATTTCAGTTGTTCAGTGTGCGTCACCGCATTTGAACTCAGTAAACCTTACACAAGTGTTGTAAGGTGGGCCAGTGTCCAAAATAAGCCATTACAATTCAGAAGTGGTTTGGGGATGAAGTTGCTAGGTTAGCCCTAGGAGGATGAGAAGCTTGGTCTCAGATGTTCAGACTTATTCCCAGAATCCATGTCTGTCCACTGGTCTGATGGAATTGTGTGGAACGCCTCTTTGATGGTCAAGTTTCCACTTCCAGGTGCTGTTAAGTAAAGTAAAGTTACTCCTGCCGTCTGGCAGTCTTGACAGAAGGTTTGCGCCATCCACCTATAGCCGGTGGCCAGCGCTGTTCGCAGACACTTCGGGTCCGTGGCCAGCGGACAAGCTGCATCTGGTGACAGGAGCACACAACCGTTACCTTCACGCTCATAAGCGGTCCTTTTATCTACTTGCACCAGGGTGCTTTCTGTAGGTTGCGCAGGTGCTGTTAGTTTGTGGTCAAAGTAAGATCCCCAGATCACGCACTTCATCACAAAGTCAACAGTCACAATGTGGCACTTAGAGGCACACATGCACCTGCCGAGGTCTTTGCAAAGGAAGGCAAGCTATACCTGCTGAAAGTCCTTCTCCTTTTAATGGTGCTGAAGTCCTGCCCTCTCTTTCACCCAGCCACCCGGGTGTGGGCATTATGACTGCAGCCTTGATGTTAGAGAATCTCATCTTGGTCCCTCACCCCACTTCAAATCCTATGCATGGCTTAAGGATTGCAATCCATGACTCTCTTTACTTATTTCATGACCTTGTTGTATTGTTACGTGGGGGTTCTTTTCTGTTGCCTGTATTTTTTTAAAGAAAACTTTATTAAGGAGTAAAATGGAGCTAAAAACATAAGAATGTAAAATGAGCCTGCTGGATTAGGCCAACAGCCCATCTAGTCCAGCATCCCATTCTCACAGTGGCCAACCACATGCCTGTGAGAAGCCTTAAAGGGACCCCTGACCATTTGGTCCAGTCGTGGCCGACTCTGGGGTTGCGGCGCTCATCTTGCTTTACTGGCCGAGGGAGCCGGCGTACAGCTTCCGGGTCATGTGGCCAGCATGACTAAGCCGCTTCTGGCGAACCAGAGCAGCACACAGAAATGCTGTTTACCTTCCCGCCAGAGTGGTACCTATTTATCTACTTGCACTTGACATGCTTTCAAACTGCTAGGTTGGCAGGAGCAGGGACCAAGCAATGGGAACTCACCCTGTCACGGGGATTCAAACTGCCGACCTTCTGATTGGCAAGTCCTAGGCTCTGTGTTTTAACCCACAGCGCCACCCGTGTCCCTATTCTTAGAGTAGACCCACTGAAATCAGTGGGGCTTAAAGTTTGTGATGAATAACTAGGGACAGGGAAGATATTTGATTCAGCTCACATTTAAAGGCAAACCTTCTTAAGTCACACTTTCCAGAACAATATACAGCCTGAAATGCAGGCACCCTTTCAAAATTTCCCTTCTCTGAAATTTGCAGTGCAGTTCTCCAGCCAAGCAAGGTGTACAAAAATACACAGAACAGGGTAAAAGTGTCTGTGGAGATGCATGTTTTAGTGGAACTAACGAAGAAGAAAAAGTGCATTATATCAGGTGAAATTGCTTTGCAAAAAATGTATTGGGCAAAAGCACCCCCCAAAAAATATCAAAAGAGAAATTCATATTGAAATGCGGATGAATTCTCAAGATGACTTTTTTAAAAAATCACAAAACTGATGAGGAAATGTGGAGAACTGAACTTAAGAATGTAAAAATGAGAAGCAGAGAGAGGTTGAAATTGACAGATTCACCCATCCCTATGAGTAACACATGTGTCAGTCATTTCAGTGGCTCCATTCAAAGCAAGACCAAGTCTGGCTCCAACCCCTGTGAGCCGCCTTGCTGCTTCCCTTGTGGGCTAGAGGCATCTGTAGCACAACTGTGAATGCGGCTGTTGTCACTTAAGCTGCAAGCGCAAATGCCTCCATTTCCCCAGAGATCAATTTGAAACATGCATCTAAGCACGTATAATCTAATCGCATCAAGAACAGGTGGGTGGCTGCCGCGTCCAATACGCTGTCTGAGGTCCAGGCCCAGATCTTAAAGGTGCTCCTTTCCCCTCCTCTCTGCTTGTTCTCTTCTGACCACCACCCCGCCCAGCCCTCTCGTTTTCTGCTTATTTCTGATTAAAACAAAGGCATGAATGCCAAAGACAGCGTTTCCCAGTTCACATTTCACTCTGCTAACATTCTGCAAGGGCTGTGCTTTGGGCTGAAATCACATGATCCTTCCTGCAGCCAGCTAGGAAATCCTACGCTCAAGTAAAACAAACAGAACAGAGCAAACCCTGGGGGCATTTGGACTGAGCCCTTGGTGACTAATAAAAAGAACAGCAAAGAATCTTGTGGCACCTTAAAGACTTTATTATGGCAGATGCCTGAAGTGTTATCTTCAGTTGGCAGCTAAAGCAAGTGGGTGTAGAGAGACAAGCTTGTAGGCAGTGGGGTCAAGTGGTAATGAAATGCAGAAAGTACCGCCTACATGGCGACAAGTCATTCAAGCGGCCTTTCATAGCAGCAGCAATAAAACAAAATGGGTTTTTGTCTGGTTTGTAGAATTAAATAGAGATACTAGCCTAAAGAACAGGACTGCTTGCTCGTTTGTAGCTTCAGCCATTTCCCTCTCGCCTGCTTCTGTCTCACATGTTTTCATGATGGAAGGAAGGAAAAATCAAATCTGAATTAGCTCTCAAGGTAACAAGGCATTTCGGACTGTTAGAAGACATAACAAAAAGCAAACGCACCAACCGAGTGAAGTCTCCTAAATAAAATTACATGACTATGGGACACATAAAGCTGCCTTATAGCAGGCCAGGCGATTGGTCCATCTATCTCTGCGCTTAATTGACAGCAGTTTTCCAGACCAGGAGCAGTTCACCGGGGGAGGAAGGGCATTAGCAATAGTCTCCCAGCAGCAAAGTCTCTGCCACTTACCAGGAGGGGGAGGGACAAGACCGCAGGGTGGGTGGGGCTGTGCAGGTGCATTCATGGGAGCTCTGGGTTGGCTCTGCCAGGATGTCTGCAAAAGCTCAACCTCTCCCACTCCCAGTAAGCAGCCAAAGTTTCGCTGCTGGGAGGCAGTTGCTGCAGCAATCCCACCCATGGAAATGATCACGAACCCCACTGGTTGATCCCCTCTTGCTCCAAGACATAAGAAAACCAGCTTTCCTGACCCTACCTGGAAATTCAATGGACTTTGTGCCTGCAGCATAGGTGCTCTATCACTCAGTTGTGGCTCTTCTCAACTGCCTAATCTAACGCTTGATGTGATAAGTGATCAGGTGGAGGGAAAACTAATAGAATCCGCAGTGCTTGCAATCAGCATTGTATCACAAGCCTTCAGTCGCTGAGATAAGAGACACAGGATTGGCTGTTGTCAGCAAGCACAGCTGTGCTTTCCCATGTATTTCACTTGGAGGCCATCCACATGTTCAGAAGAGGAATGTGGTGAAGCTACTGTTTGGAATGCGGAGGGGCTATTAACCCCCCCCCATGGGCAAAACTACTCCTCTCCCTCTCTCTCTTGCAACACATTGCAAATTAAAGAAGATCTAGTTCAAAATTTTGCACTGAGAAACTTGGGTGAATTGGCCATAATATGGAAAATGCGTTTCAGTGTAAGTGTAAAGTGGTCCACACAGCTTTACTCAGAGTAGACCCACTGCAGTGAATGAACATGACCAAGTTAAGTCCATTAATTTCTGCCCAGGACATCCATACACACTGCCCGGGCTTGTGCCCCGGGGAGGTCACTTCAGGGATGCTAACACAGCAATTTGGCTTCACCCTGGAGGTGCACTCCATTGTCTCTCGAGGCAGACTGATGCCAACAACAACAAACTCTGAGTAAAGCTTAAATAAAAGCCCATGGATTTTTAGTCATGTGGTTTTTTTTTTAAAAAAATGTACTAATAAATTAGATCCAAAATGTTCATCAAAATACTTTTAATTGATTATTGTCTGATTAGTCAACTAGAACTCCCAACCCTGTCTGAAAAATGATCCAAACCGATCTTACAATGCTTTCACAACAGCGTCTTTGAACTCATTCTGTATTTTACTCCCTATAAACTCTTAATGCCTATTTGCACAGACGTAATCACTGTGTTTAAGGGGGCTTACTTCCAGGAAAACTATGCTTCGGATTTCAGCCTTAATTAGGAATTCTAGACTTAGGAGGCTAATTTTCTTGTACCTTTATGATTAACACAGCTTCCCTTTACTAGAGTAATAAATGTCACACCACATTCTCATAAAACTAAGCAGGTCAAAATGCATAGTGTAACTAGTAAACACACACTCTGTGTGTTTAATCGTGAGGTGGGTTCAGCTTGAGAACGCATGAAGTTAAAATTAATACTACAAACAACTCTTTAAACATCTTCTTAGTAGTTCCACTTCACAAATCTTATGGTAGAGTTGAAGGACGAGATGCTTTTCATTTGCAGAGTCAGGCTTTCCAGTCTCCTTTTCCTTAATGTATGTTGGGTTGTGTTTCCAAATGCATTCAGCCATGTGATCTTCAGTGCTGGTTCATTTATATCAGATGAAGTGTGACTGGAAATAAAGCTCTGTCTTCTTCTTTTTAAAAAAGGACAGTCGTCTCTGATCTATATTCCAAAAGGAAAATAGACAGGGGCATTATATTTTAGTCCCTACATTTCATCACGGCCCTTCTTTCTTCTTCTTCTTCTTCCTAAGTGAAGGCTAACATAAGGACAATTGCTAAAGAAGCAATCATAATATCCCCATACTAGTGAAATCCAGACTTACGGCTACTCAGGGCAGATATACATGACAGTTCCATTGTCCTCTATTAGCAGGATATTGTCCTAGCATAAAAACGCATGCAAACTTTGAAAGCTCTGAATATTTAAGGCAGGACACTAGTGGCTCATCCCAGTGGGAACTACCGAAAAGGGGAACCTGATTAAATTTAATGTCATTGTCACTTTTTTTTCCATTGCTAAGAATTATATACGTAGCCATAGCTACCGCACTGTTCAGACACCATGACCACAATATTCTCCCTCAGAGGTTGGCGTCAAGGGCCGAATTGTTCAGTCAAAGAATGTAAATTCATTATGGGATGTGATTCTTATCAATTAAAAAGATTTGTCAGTATCTGATATATGTTTATTTTGGGTGTGCATGTGTGTGCGTGCAGAAATCACTGTGCTTAAACCAGGAAAGCAATTTGTTTCTTTAGCAGAGCAGCTCATTGGAAGTGCCTTTTGCAAAATGTCCAAGTTGCTCTGTGTAATTAGAAATAATAATAAATCCTTCAAGTCATGCACTTCAACACAACCACCTCAAGTGAAGTTTGCTCTTATTTTGGCTGTTCGTCCTGCCTACTGTGAAGCAACACAAAACATACAATTTTTTTTAAAAAAAAAAATTACAGCTCTACAACAACTTATAAAAGATCAAACTAAAATGAAAGTAATAGATTAGGAGAAAACTACACATAAAATATGGAGCAGTAAATAACTTCTCCATTCCTTCAGTACATGAAATGTACATAAGCCTATCCTAAACAGAAAAGCAAATGCCCATTCTAAAATATTACTTGACAAGGAAACACCTACAAAAGAAATTCAATTTCACATATTAGAAATCTTACAAACAGGATATATTGTTGACAAGTTGCTATACTCCATGAAAATTTGCTACAGAACAGAGGGATATCCTGGTCCTGCGAAGTACACAACAATGGCCATAAAATATCAGCTACATCAGCCTTGCTCTGTACTGGAATAGAACAACTATTCTTTAGCTGCATGGATTAATTAGACTAATTTCCATCCGAAACAAGTTGAGCAAGCATGCCTCATTTACCACTCACTGAGATGCATGAATAAAGAAATGTCTCTATCTTCCGAAGATGGCACCATTGTAAAAAAGAAAACAAATAACCGGGTTGAGAATAAAACATCTTTGCTTTTGTCTCTAATAGCTATGATGGGTAACGTTTAACGCTGACTCACACTTTTCATGGCAAGTAAATTCTATTGCAGCAACTCTAGGTTTCTTTACACATACAGAAATACAGGGAATCTCTACATATGTACAAGTGTTTGTGTGAAAGAGTGTACAGGGTGTTGATTTGTACAGCTGAGCTATTATGCACACAGACTGTAGACTCATCAAATGATACATGTGAATAACTATACGAGTGAACAACTCAACTGTTTGCATACACAGGGACACAGATTGTACACTTGTTGAATGTAATGTGTGAGCACTCCTCATGTTGTCACCCATTACATATCCGACAGCAAAACCCCTTACAATCAAAAGAGAGACTCTGTGTTTGCAAACACAGAGTGGACAAGTTTCAAGGACAAGGAGCCAATTTCAGTCGTACCTTGGTTCTCGAACACCTTGGTACACGTACATTTTGGATCCCAAATGCCGAAAACCCAGAAGTGTTCTGGTTTTCAAACGTTCTTTGGAAGCCGAACGTCCGACGCAGCTTCCACGGCTTTCGATTGAGTGCAGGAAGCTCTTGCAGCCAATCGGAAGCTGCGCCTTGGTTTTCAAATGGTTCCGGGAATCAAACGGACTCCCAGAACGGATTAAGTTTGACAACCAAGGTATGACTGTATAGTTCCTCAACAATGCCCATCTGCAGCCTATTTCAGAGAAGTGCAATTCCAAGATTGGTAGAACAATCAATCCCTCTTCCTAGGCAAGATTTACTATTTTGGGCAACATTCCTTTCCCTTACTTGCTATGGACAACAGTTTGAAAACGGGGAACATGAGGGAGAAGTCCCTGGGTAATAAATCTACCAAACCTCAGAAAAACATGCCCAGAGACTATCATGCTAGGTAATTTTATCTTTGCTATAAATAAACTGGAGAAGTCAAAGCTTTTTTCTCTCCACCACCCTTCCTTCCTGGCAATACCCCCCCATGAAGAAAAGAGAGAGAGGGCTTTTTATCGTTTGTTAGACAAAATAACAATTGGAAATGGAGCAGGCCACTCTAATCCAGTGGTACCTCTAGTTATGAACTTAATTTGTTCTGGAGGTCCATTCTTAACCTGAAACTGTTCTTAACCTTTTGCTAATGGGGCCTCTTGCTGCTGCTGCACCGCCAGCACACAATTTCCGTTCTTATCCTGAGGCAAAGTTCTCAACTTGAGGTAACTCTCCAGGTTAGCGGAGTTTGTAACCTGAAGCGTTTGTAACCTGAGGCATTTGTAACTCGAGGTACCACTGTAGCCTAACTCTACCCTCTTAAACCTTGCTTTCACAGCCAAGACATGGAGACTAATGACCTGCATGAAGAACAACTCATGCTTGAATTAAATAATTCAAAAAAATCCTCGCTCCTAATCACCATGATTGGAGTGGGCTCAGAAAATAATTAAAAGCTAGGTCTGTCTGTCCAAAGGAAAGATTCCCCCCTCTCTCCCTCTCAAGGTCAGAGTGTTTCCCAACTCAGCATGCTTTCACTTCTCAGAAAATAAAAGGGGGACTGGGAGAGAATAAAGCCATCCCTTCCCCACTTTGAGATGCCTTGTTAATGGTGCTATCTGACTCAGGAAAGTGAGCTCATATCCCAAATCACCTGAGATTGAAGGGTAGGTAATAGATAAACAAACAAACAAAAATTCCCTCATTATATGGAGTATGCATAAAAGCTATGTACCCTCTCAGTTGTTTGTTTTTTGCCTAGCATTTAGGTCTTACATACAAATTGACACTGATTTCTAATCTCTGCCCTGTGATTATACCACTTAGAGGTTTCTTTTTATATATTAAGCAGTAAATGAATACGTTCTATTAAAAAAAAGAAGCGTACTTGTTGCCAATGCTGCTGCCAACCTCATTCCCACTTGATGAGTGTGGTGGCACTCTATAATCAGAGGCTGCCATGCCCAGGGAGATCTTTGAGCAGTGAGTTGGCAAGCGTTTCAAGGAAGGGGTTAAGAAGCACCCAGCATGGGCTTTTTCAAGAACAAATCATGCCAAACCAAAAGATGATGGAACAGGTGCTAAGCAGAGAGAGAGAGAGAGAGATGTGCCAGGGCTTATACTTGCCTAGAAGCCAAATCTACTGACAGAAAAACCTTCCCCTTGAATTCTAGGCTTGTAAAGACTGCTTCTGGTGCCTCAGCCTGGAGGAAAAGATAATCAGAATGGCTTTTTGTATTGTTTTGTTTTAACTTTTTCTGTTATTACTTCATATCTTCCAAAGCTACACGGTGGCATTCAAAGCAGATCGAGGTCTTAAGTCCTGGCCCAAAGCAAGCTTTAGGAAGGACGGGGCTGTAAACTCTCTTCTGGCATTCACTGGCAGACCTGTGGCAGGGTCTTGTGGGAATGCACAAGGCTAGCTTTGTCCCCTTGAGGACACCGGGCACACTAGCAACCTCCCAAGATCAACCAGAATTCAGCCAGTCTGTGTTTAATGAGGATTTAATTTCAGGTAAATCTATGTGCATAGATACTGCCTGAGGTAAATATAGGGTTCTACACTTGGGGGAAGGGACGCGGGTGACGCTGTGGGTTAAACCACAGAGCCTAGGACTTGCCGATCAGAAGGTCAGCGGTTCGAATCCCCGTGACGGGGTGAGCTCCCATTGCTCGGTCCCTGCTCCTGCCAACCTAACAGTTCGAAAGCACAAAAGTGCAAGTAGATAAATAGGTACCGCTCCAGCGGGAAGCTAAACGGCATTTCCGTGTGCTGCTCTGGTTCGCCAGAAGCGGCTTAGTCATGCTGTATGCTGGCTCCCTCGGCCAGTAAAGCAAGATGAGCGCCGCAACCCCAGAGTCGGCCACGACTGGACCTAATGGTCAGGGGTCCCTTTACCTTTACCTTACACTTGGGGGAGACTATGCTCTTCTTTCATGGTCAGAGGCAGTATGTTGGAAAGCACAGGAGGGAAAGGGCTCTTGTGCTTAGGTCCTCCTTGTGGGTTTCCCACAGGCCTCTAGTTGGCCAGTGGATGAGATGGGCTATTGGCCTGATCTAGAAGGCTCTTCTTATATCCTTATGGGGTTTCTAATCTGGCATTTGTGACCAATATGGCACCCTTGTTGCCAGCCAAGGTCATGTGACCCTCCTATTTATTTTCTTTTTTTAAAAAAACCCCCAAGGATTTTGTTGGATTCCTTTTTTGGGGGCTGGAGAGGAGTAGCCTGCGTTCTATCTGTGGTTTTATTTGGGCAGCGGGGTTGTAGGTATTTTCTAGGTGTTGTTGGAGGAGGGGGAGGTTCTGAGCATTGCCAGTTTCTCTCCTGTGAAACAGGTATTTCGTGCTGCTCACAATAGTTCTGGCTCATAGGGATTGGTGACTCCTACCCTGCAGACACACACACAACAGAAGGCAAGGAGGAAAGCTGGTGGCTACAGAATGGCCCCTTTTAAACAGCGTTTTTCTTGTTTTTAATCTTATAAATTGTCTTTGCGTTATTACCAGTGCCAAAAGTGGCACACAACAGTTTAAGAACCAAAATGACCTAATTCTAAACAAAACAGTCTGACAGTAAAGTAAATGTGCAATCGAAACAAAACCTTCAATGACTAAACCTGTGAATTCCTCTGCTTCTCTTAAATGGGCACTTTTGAGTCTACTAGGTATTCAAATACGCCATTAAGCTGATTACCCACCCTTTTAAATTCTCCCTCTCTCTGCCCCTGTCTATCAGTGCAATCCTATACATATCTACTCAGAGGTCAGTCCCATAGAGTTGGATGGTGCTTACTCTTGGGTAAGGGAGTATAGGATTGTAGTATCTCTTCCCTTGTCTCAGCTTACATCCTTCTCGCTCACTCCATTCGGCACAAGCTCATCTATAGTTACTTTCCTGAATTTCCTTCTCCCACTCCTGCCTCTGCACCTTCTTTTCAGTATGCAGCACCTCACTTTACCCATCCCTCTGCTGCCACGGGAACATAGAAAGGTGCCTTGTACAAAGTCAAGTCATTGGTCCACTTAGCTGGGCATTGTCCACACTGACAGGCAGGGATTCAGACCCAGGACATTCCAGAGATGGAACCTGGAATCATCTACAGCCCTGACACTGAGCTATAGTCCCTACCGCATCCCTTATTTATCTATCCTAACACAGAATATTCATCCTCTAGTAGCAAGCTGTTTTGTTAAAACCAGCTGTGAGTAGAAGACAAAGTATCACCCACATGTTGACCACTGCTAAGGCATTGCTTTTCCATCACCAGCAATCCAGTTAAGAATATTTGATTCTGGGTTTAATGGACTTGTGGGAGGGTGACTTTAGAGTCTAGGCAGTCTTACTTGAGTGTAAGTCCTATTTAACCAAGTGGGTCCTGCTGAATCCATAATATCAGGCTGTAAAAATGGCTCAAGTTTTAGTGATTTATGAATTTGGACTCAATCCAATGCACCACAGAGAAGTTTGTGTGTGTGCATTTATTTAATCCCACATATGTACTGTGGGATTGTGTGCTGTATGTGTATCTGTTGGGCTTTGGGCAGGATTCCAGCATTGCAGGAAGATGGACCACATGATCCTTGCGGTCCCTTCCAATGCTACAATTCTATGATTCTGTGATGCATGTATGTGTGTTGTGCGTGTCTGCACACAAGAGTGTGTGGGTGGCATGCTCACTTTAGCCACATCCACTTTTGCATGGGGCCCCTGGAGGGTTGGCCAAGAGGCAATGTGGCCCTCGACCCCAATCCAGCACTGATGAAAGAAAACTAAGCTTAGGACAGAAAAGTCTCCTGGCAAATGTACTGTCTATTCTCAATATGAAATTCTTGTGGCCTCATTTAGAGGGAAACAGCAATCCTTTGCATATTTGCCAATGTTAAACAAGTGCAAGTCAAAGCCCTTACTGACCTACTCTGAACCTAGTGATCATCAGAAAAGCCTTCTTTTTTACATCGTATGTGTAATATGAATTTTCTGAAGTTATCTGTGCCTGCCTAATTCATAAAAATTAATTCCTCTCCGCCATTATGGTGGCAGAATGTAGTTATAAACAAGGCTGTGAATATGCCTTGATTCTGCAAGAAAAGCACAGAATAGGGAAGTGGATACAGAATCTCTCTCTCCTGGGCATGTCTGCTTTCTTCTCTTTCTCTCTTTTCCTTCCTTTCCATGGGACCCGTGACAAAATGTTGCCTGCTTAGTGTTCCAGCCAGCCAGCCATGCTCCCATCAGCATGCTCCATTCCATCTCTCCTCCTCAACAGATAGTCAGCATTCCATAGTCATCTTTAGGGTATTTTTCCTTATGATTTTTTTGTTTTTTGCCTTTTGCAAAACTTGGGGTTCCCCTAAGCATGCAGATATCTCTCTCTTTGGCACTCCTGACCTGAATTCAAGACTGGAAGGAATAATGCCTGAAAGTGTGAACAATTCCACTAAAATACTAGCAGTCGGCATGGATGCTACTGAGTTCAGTAATACTTTCAGTGGTTGTGGACAGGGCTTCAGAGTCCTTGCTGCTCCTGTGTCTTAGCAATTTCTAAATGCTAAATATTTTTACACATCTTCTCAATTTGCATAACTTAGGAACTATCCAGTTTCACAGAAACAGGATTCTTGGGAGCAGAATATTTTTTAAAAAATGGGGGGTGGGGGTGCATGCAAGTATTACATCTGAGACGCTCAACAGAAGCAAAACACAAGAACTCAGTTTCTTTTCGTATTTGCAAAACTTGAAACAATGTGAGAGAAATCCCTGTGCTTAAAAGAAAAAACCCTGAGTATCAATCCATAAATTAAGAATCTAATATAGTCAAAGGTATGTTTTAATTGCAACACATATTCTGTTTTTTGTTTTTAATAAAAATCAAAGGTTTATCATATTTATAAGCACTTCATTTCCAGGGTGTAGAATTCTACCAGGTTAAAAGAAATGAAATAAAGCATGGAGTATGGACACAGCCCTGTCTACAAAGGCCAGCTCTAAAACCCTAGTAACCTCAGTGGAAAAGGTTGGTTTCTTTCTGCCAAATAGCTGTGTTCCCTGAAGCCCATAGCACTGCTGTTCTGTGCAAAGGAAGCCTGGCATCTAGTGGACATTTAGCTGCTGTGTCACAAACCCAACACACTTGAACAAGGTACTTAGAAAGTTGCCTGGAGCAAAAGGAGACCTGTGGCCAGGCTGGTGGTGTGTGGTTGGTTTTTTTTTTTGGTGTTTTTTTTTTTTGGGGGGGGGGGAAAGAATCACTGTAGAAGAGCCTCAACATAAGGACAAATAGCCTATTTGATTTAATTGTATTTCTTCCTAGAGAGCAATTGATCAAATACAATGTGCCTTATGCGCTTTTAAAAAAATTCTTTCTTTCCTTCTTTCATAAAATTTATACACAGCTTGATTGTAAGAAAAGAAACCCCCAAAAAAACTCAAAGTGGTTTACAAAAAGAATACAGTGGTACCTCAGGTTACAGACGCTTCAGGTTAGATGCTTCAGGTTACAGACTCCACTAACCCAGAAATAGTACCTCAGGTTAAGAACTTTGCTTCAGGATGCGAACAGAAATTGTGCGGTGGCAGCGGGAGGCCCCATTAGCTAAAGTGGTACCTCAGGTTAAGAACAGTTTCAGGTTGAGAACGGACCTCCAGAACGAATTAAGTTCTTAACCCGAGGTACTACTGTATAACAATAAAAATATCAGTAAACAGTTAAAAACAACTATTTAAAACTTGCCCAATTAATTTTAGCGATAAACCAAAACCACACTAAAACGCACATCAACATTCTATACAGGGTATAGGAACAAGTAAAAGGTTTAAGCTGCATTTCCATACACACTTTCCAGGAATAAAGTCCCACTGAAACTCAGTGGGACTCACTCCTGTCTGGGCATGTATAGGATTGTGCCGTTAGGGCTTGCTCTCACTTCCACATGCCTAGAAAGCATGGGTATGGGTGGTTTTCCTTTTGCCCTGCTCCTTTCCCAGGAAAAACCCTCTCTCAAACAGTGTGGATAAGCTTTGCAAGACTTAAAATAGGTACTTTTTTGAAAAATCAAAGCTGAAAATTCAATAAGTTCTAGTACAGGGATGGGGAATTGGCAGCCTTTCAGATTTCGTCTATCTCCAACTCCCACCAGCATGACCAATGACATAGGAGTTGTAGTCCAAAAACACTGGGAAGGCCACAGGTTCCTGGCTTAAAAGGAACCCTACTGCAATATTATTAACCTTCAGGATGAATTTGGAAAATCCCCCTTTACCCTGGCATTTGTTGGCTGGAAAATACTCTTCCTAGCAACCCCAAGATCATTGGACAGAAGAAGTTTGTAACTGTAACCGCTTTTCAAATGTTTTTAATTGTAATTGTTTTTAGGGTGTTTTAACTGTTCTGGAAAAAATGGTTTGCTTTGCTTTTAAATTGCATATTTCTTTGCCATCCCGGGCTCCTTCAGAGGAAGAGCAGGATGTAGATTCAACAAACAAGGAAACGACATAACACTGTTAATATGCTTGTTCCAAAAACCTGCAGTAAGGCTGAATTAGTAGTCAAGGTTCAACAGAAATACTCAGTTGTCCATTTTTATGCTTGTGGTTTAAAGTGCTTCACCTCAGCGATACATATGATGGGGCCACGGGTGAGACTTTTCTTCCATGGTTATCCTCCTGTTCATTTCTTCATACGTTTCATTTCCAGCACATCACATCCACTGGCATGACCAAACAACAGGTGTTAAAGGATTGCACACCTCTCAGTAACTCTTTCTTTTTTGTCCTATCGCGAATATGTGTCCACCCAAACATTCTGCACTTATCCAAGTGATTACAAGACCACACACGGCATAAGATATTTCTGTTGTGGTCATATATGTGCACTCTGAGAATTAAGATACATGGTCACATGACACACCTGCTCCTAATGGATACCACTTCCAAGTGCAGGTGTGAAGGCTTCTACACATAGGTGCGTGGGTGGGTAGACTTTCCTGCAAATGCAAAGCTAGAATGTGAAGTTAGGCTATCTATCTGCCATTTTGAAATATTTCATAAAGCAGTCACATAAAATACCAGTGGGGTACAGAAAACAAACAATAGGTATAAAATACACTCCAGAATTAACAGTTAAAATAACATCATATCACAAGAAGGTGATCAAAGGAGAAAAGTTAAATATTTCAGTTAGAAAAGGGTTAGGTATTTTTTTAAAGAGTCTTAAGCTTGCATCTGAACAATTCGACTGGTTTGTGTGTAGACACAGACACACACACACACACAGAGAGAGAGATGGGTTTGTTTTTGTTTTTTTGCAAATTAAAGGTGACATTGCTAAATGGGAATTATAATGTATGATTCTAGGATATGAATTTGAATCACAAACCTTTCTCCCCCTAGTGGACATTAAAGAGTATGTTTTTAAAAAATGTGGCTTTTCCTAAACATACACTCTACAGATGTGCATTTTGTAACTAAACACACACAGACATGCCAACCTTGTAAAGCAAGGGTGGGGAACCTATAGCCCTCCAGATGTTGTTGGTCCCCAACTTCTAAGTGGCCCAACCAGCATTGCCAATGGTTGGGGATGATGGGAACTGCATGCCCAGAAACTTGCTGCCTGGAGCAAAGGACAAGATGTTTCCCTCCCCACATTCCACATACGGAAACTGATTGGACTGAAAACTAAAACTTACAACACCAATAAAATGATGGTCTCCTTCACTGCACCCAAACCAGCAGGCTAATTTAGAGTGGGCAGAACAGGTAATGGAGCATGCACAGCTCTGTTCTCCAACAGATGGGATGGTAAGGGGGTTTAGGAAGAACGTCCAAGGTGCTGCTGCTACCCCCTCCCCCCAAAAGAAATATGCTGCCTTAGGCAGTTGCCTCATATTACCTCATGGTAGGGCTGGCCCTGGCTGCAGAAGGTTCCCCATGCCTTGTTTTCAAAATCCAAGTTGAGGTGATACGGATTAAAAAGAAGGGCTATGCAAATAAGGGGCAGGCTTTAGTCTCAATAAATGAAGTCAATGAAGTTAATAATCTCTCCTCAACAGTTTTAACTGCACCACTCTCTCCCACCACCATTCCTGCAATAGAAGTGAACAGCTGTCAGTGAGGGAAGTAAATAGTTGTACTTGGGGATCCTGTTACAGTGATGCAAAACATGGGGACAGAAGGCAGGATATTCCAGAAAGTCCCTGCAATAAAAAAAAGGCCTTCAATCAATACACATATTGATGGGCACCTTCCATACTACCTGTTGACTAAGCATTCATCTGGATTTTTGCAGGAATACTAGACAATGTTGGCTCCTAATAATGGTGCCTTAGTCAGAGCAAACCCATTGAAATTAATGGACCTGTTAGTTGTGACTTATTAATGCCAATGGGTTTGCTCCAAGTGTGACTAATGTTGGGTACAGCTTATTCTGATTTGTTTGTGGGGTGGATAGATGACGTTGCATCAGAGCAACTGTTACCAACACTTTCCAGTGCATTTCCCTGCCATATTCTTTACTCCCTCCCCTCCCAAAATCCAATATTTCTGGGAAAGTGAATTTGTTCCCAAGACTTTCCAGTCAATTGTAATTGTAGAACCTGGATTTGCAAGTGCGTGATTGAATCCCCACCTGAAAATAGTGACAGTCTAGAAGTGCCCCTATTTAGCAATACTACTGATAATATGCACACTCTTGACTGCTGTGAATTGTAGAAGATCACAGCATTTATTGTATTTCTATCCCACCTTTCTAACATCACAGAACTCAAGGAAATATGCATAGAGCTCTGAGGTGGGCTTCCCTCAAGACACTGACCAGATCAAGATTTGCTCGATTGCAGCAAGCATGTTGCACCATGTACCTACCTGAGTATCTTTGCATAGCTGCTTTTTAGAACCTTAAGCAGGAGAAGATCCTAGTGGATCATGAACATAAGAAGAGCCTGCTGGATCAGACCAATGGCCCATCTAGTCCAGGATCTTGTTCTCACAGTAGCCAACCAGATGCCTATGGGACACCCACAAGCAGGATTCGAGCATAAGAGCACTCTCAGCTATTGTGGCTTTCAGCAACTGATGCTCAGATACATTACTTGCTCCAACTGTAGAGGCAGAGCATAGCCATCCTGTCTAATAGCCATTGATAGCCTTCTGCTGCATGAATTTGTCTAACTCTCGTGGCCCATGCTTCTCAGTATAATTAGTTGATTAGTTGAAACTCCAGCAGATGTTTTGCCTACTAAAAGTGTGCTGTTAAGGAAGAGACCTGGAGATATTATTGTAAGTATTATTATAAGTCCTCTGGCACTTACCTCCCTGACTTAAGGTGCATTATAAGAAGATAAGCATTTCATCAATCACTTTGGACTAGTTCGGGCTAGTAAACATTCACTTAATAGAACATTAAGAAATAAAAGGGATGTTATTACCACTAGGTGTGGTTCTCTGGGTGGATGAAAAGAGTGTGGCACTGATCTTTGTTGGTAATGCAAACCATGAATGCAACTACTCTGACATTATGGGAAACAGCAAACTCTTACTAATTTTACTGGAGTGATTCCAACATTTAAATATTTATTATTTTTGCTAGAAATCAGTTTAATGCGGTTTCCTTATGTCAATTTCCTGTTCTTAGAAGGTTGAGCATGATAATGCCTAAACTTGTATCAGAGAACTGGTCCTGGCAAGGGCCGGTACATTTCTGTCCGCACAGCATCCCTGGGGAGACTATCAAGAGGACTGCACAGTTGGCTTGGATTTTCACATGGCCATTTGCAACCCACAAATTTCAACTCTCTCAGAAGCACCCTGCAGAGATCAGATATGACAGCCTTTGCCAACCTAGTGCTCTCCAGATGTTTTGGGCTACAACTCCTATCGGCTCCAGCCGTCATGCTGGACACCAAGTTGGTAAAAAAAAACAAATCAACGAAAAGTTTTTGCAGTTATAAAGTGAAATACGTTGGCTGATGTTTCCAGCAATTTTCAGAGGATAAAAACATAAAAGGAGCCCTACTGGCTTAAGACCAAAGGTCTGCCTAGTCCAGCTGTGGCAAGGAATTGATAATAAAACTGCGATTATACAAATCTATGGTGCGACTACATTTGGAGTACTGTGTACAGTTCTCCAGTCCCCTCACCTCAACTCCGCTATGAGGGAAGGTTACAAAATTTGGGGCTTTTTTTGGCAGAGGGATATATCTAGGTTTGTCTGGCAGGGCAAAAAGCCCCGTATAAAATTTAAAATATTAACCGACTCAAAAGAAAGAGGGGGGTTTGCCCTGCCGGACTTGAGGTTGTACTATGAAGCTGCAGCCTTCTGCTGGTTGAAAGATTGGTTCTTGCTGGAAAACACTGATGTCCTGGATCTGGAAGGGTTTGACAATATCTTTGGTTGGCATGCATATTTGTGGTACGACAAGGTGAAAGCGCACAAATTGTTTAAAAACCATATTGTCAGAAAAGCAATTTTTGCCGTCTGGATGAAATACAAAGATCTATTAGAAAGTAAGACCCCGAGGTGGCTATCACCGATGGAGGCCAAGGCTCGAAAAAGACCCAATATGGAGGCCCATTGGCCAAAATATTGGGAAATAATTGAAAGAATTGGAGATAATTGGAAGTTGCAGAGCCAGGAAAAGTTAAAAAGTAAGGTGTGAGATTGGTTACACTATGCTCAAATTCAAGAGGTTTTTAAAATGGACAAAAAAGTTGGTTTCCAGGTGGAAAAATCGAAGTTGAAGACGGAACTGTTAGAACCAAAGACTAAGATACTTTCGAGAATGTATAACTTGTTGCTTAAATGGAACACACAGGATGAGATAGTTAAATCTGCCATGATAAAATGGGCACAGGATGTTGGTCACAACATTATGTTTGAAGACTGGGAAAGGTTATGGAACACCGGAATGAAGTTCACGGCATGTAGTGCCTTGAAAGAAAACATTATGAAAATGGTATACCGGTGGTACATGACCCCAGTCAAGTTAGCTAAGATATATCACCTGTCTGATAACAAATGTTGGAAATGTCAAGAGGCAGAAGGGACATTCTTTCACCTCTGGTGGACCTGCCCAAAAGTGAAGGCCTTCTGGGAAATGATTTATAATGAACTTAAAAAGGTATTTAGATATACCTTTTCCAAGAAACCGGAGGCCTTCCTTCTGGGCATGGTGGACCAGAAGGTGTCAAAAAAAGACAGAACCTTGTTTATGTATGCAACTACAGCAGCAAGAATTCTCATCGCAAAGCACTGGAAGACACAAGATTTACCCACACTGGAGGAATGGCAGACGCAGTTGATGGACTATATGGAACTGGCTGAAATGACTGGCAGAATCCGAGATCTGGACGAGGAAATAATAGAGGAGGACTGGAAAAAATTTAAAGACTATTTGCAAAAACATTATAAACTGTATGAATGTTAAGAATGTGCACGATTAGGAAATGTTATGCTTTCGCAATTTGATTAAGTAAATGGTAAAGTAAGTGATAACAAAGAAAAAAAAGAGGAGACAAATGTGAAACAAATATATTATGTTTATTTTAAAGGTACTAAAATTGGGTTATAACATTCTGAATTTGGAAACATAATAATTGAAAGTTACAGTAAGTTGCGAAATAAGGTAACAAATTGCTGACACTGTTATTGCATAGAACGCAAGGCCTGGGAGATGTGAGGAGGTCCAACTGACAGTGATAAATTATGGAAAGATGATTTGACACATATCTATTCTTTTTTATTTTCTTATATCTTCATAATCTGTTTCTTGTTTTTTACTCTTGTATTCTTGAACTTGTGAACCTATGGAAAGAAACGCAATAAAAAATATTTATAAAAAATAAAAAAACAAAATTTGGGGCTTTTTTTAGTTTGGAGAAAAGGTAAGATGACATGACAGAGGTTTATAAAATTATGCTTCGCATGGAGCAAATAGATGGAGAAATATTTTTTCTCCCTCTCTTATAACACTAAATCTTGTGGACATCAATGAAGCTGAATGTTGGATCCTTCAGGACGGATAAAAGAAAGTACTTCTTCATGCAGTGCATAGTAAAACTATGGAATTCTCCGAAAAATAGTGATGGCCACCGACTTGGATGGCTTTAAAAGATCAGGCAAATTCAGTGGCTATATTCAACCTCCACTGTCAGTGGTGGTATGCGTCTGAATACCAGTTGTTGGGAACCGCAGGTGGGTAGAATGCTGTTGTGCTCATGTCCTGTTTGCAGGCTTCCCACAGGCTTCTTCTGGCTGGTCACTGTGAGAACAGGATGCTGGACTATATAGACCAGGGCAGTCCAACTTTTCATACCAAGTAAACCACAAGAGTACTTTTAGACAGAACCCATAGACCGCACACTGCCTTGCTGTGGAGGCAGCAGGGCACAAGGCCAAAATTTGACACCTCTCCAGCCAAAGCTGGACTGGGCAGGAGTGCCGACTAGGTTTTGGGAAGGCATAAGGAGGGCTCAAGGACCCTGGCAGAACTCTCACACCTCTTTTCCAAAGGCCAGCACCTCGCTTGCCTGATTTTGAGAAGGTAGCATGACGGCTGAAGGGGGGGGGGGAGAAGAACCACATTTTGCCAAAGAGCACCAACAAAGGCCTCAAGGGCCACATGCAGTCCTTGGGCCACATTTTGGACCACCCTGACATAGGCCACTGGCCTGATTCAGCAGGCTCTCCTTATGAGCACTGGGAAGTGTGGCATAATATTTGATGCATTGCTGCATAACCTTCTTGCATAGAAAACCAGGATGAATGCTCAATAAGCAGGTAATCTGGAAGTGACCACACACAGCACTGGGTGGGGGGTGTTTCTTCAAAGAGTGCTTGACAAGAATGGTTTATCAGCAAGCTGTACTGGCATTTGTTGGGAAAGGGTGGTGGTGGAATTAAATGGTTTCCCATCACCCTACAGAAGACTGTAGCGAAGGCCCAATTATCATTTGTATGGCCTGCCTGCTGATTTTAATCCTAGAAGCATGAAGAAGGTTAGTTGTCAGCTTGGAAATTTTCAAGAGGAAAGTAAAAAGAGCACTCTTGAAACAAAAGAGAGGAGACAGTATGGGACAGTTTCAACCTGAGGCCCTCTTCTGTCTGTACTCACCAATCGCTCACTTCAAAACACTTATGATTAAGGTATGGTGTGGTTGCCACAGCAACCTCATGTACGACACATGGAGTTGCTCACCACTTTGCCAACTACAGATGTGTGAGCTAGTTTAAACATCTTTGTGTGTGTGTGTTTTAATTGGCAATCAAGTACAAGCCCATCTGCCGTTGACAGCCTGTCTTGTTGCTCACAATTTATAACACTAGATGTACCTCCCACCAATTCTATACAAGATTTGGAAGCAGGCCCTGACACGTACCTTTCAGATTCCACAGAAGACCCTGTGTTGCGGTTCAGTCTTCTGCAATAATTGGATTCAGAGCAATTTTTTAAAATTCAAGCAAAGAAGTTGATTCCTAATCTGTGATCCATGGACCTCTAGGGGCTCCATGGATGGGATTCAGAGGTTTTGTGAACGTGGAACAAAAAAGAAAATATTTTTTTCTAGCTCAATAAATTGTATGCAACAACAAAAAAATGTGTATGTGCTTACATGAGGAGCACTGTCACACCAAATTGTGGTACTGTTGCACACCACCCTAATCTTTGAGTAGTGCAAGATTCCAAGGGCCCAGGTACTTGCCCAGGGTCTATGTTTCCCTTTGGACAATGAGGCACAGCAGAGACTGTGGTGTCTTTATGGTATATGGTTTATTTACACACATATTCAACCTAAATCTAGGTGGAGAGAGTTTAGAGCATTCACATTCCAATAAGGTTTCTTGCTTCTCCCATAGTGGCAGTAGGTTTGGATCTTGCGACAGAGAAATCAGCCATTCTGTCTCTTTGTTACAGCCTGTCACAGCTAGTCCACATGACACTCTTTCTTCCTTGTCACCACTAACCGACTGAAAACGTATTTCTCCCCAGCCTACAAAAACCTAAAA